AAGAAATAAAGCTTTAGGTGAATGTAGATTGGGATTTGTTTTTTTGTTCAAGTAGAAAGTGTGCCTTCATCATAGAAGACTAACAGAGGATCTTTTGCAAAAGCAGAGGTGGCAAATCCAGGCTCTGAACATAAAAGGTCAGAAAGTAAAAGGCCAGATTATTTGCAACAATTTGCTTTCCAGCTTCACAGCACAGTGGGAGGCTCATACCTCCTATTCCTTGCTACTTTCCCTTCACCTTTAGTAAGGCCAACAGTAGGAAAACTATCCAGGGTTGGAGAGGAACTCTAAAGTGCTACGCTGAATTGGGACTGCCTTACAGAGGTCATTACATAACAGGCGAATGAATTGTTCTGGTGAAATTGGCACAACAGCATTACGGGAAAAAAAAAAGATGCCTTGCACTATTCAGACAGTAGCATCATGGAGAAATTTGATGCTCTGTGTTAATTCCCATTGCCATCTGCATTATTAGTAATCAATAATTTAAATAACAACTCAATAAAAAACAAAATCTAAAATACCAGTAATAGTAAGGTACATTTTATTATCATGGTCACATTTGCAATAAACTTTCTTAATAACGTTTAGCATATCTTGTCAGAGTGACCCTGATACAAAAGTTATGAAGAGAAAAATAAAGAAATATATCTAATATGTAGTATAACTAGGAAGTGCTTCTGAATATTTTTTTAGACTACATAACTTTCCCAAAGCACCTTAGCTGGATATATCCCCTTTCCAGGAGCTGTTTTACACGGAGGACCATTAACGCCATGTTTAAATAATCTCAGACTTCTGCCTAAAACAGGAACATTTAAACGGTTCAAGAAATAACGGTTTAACAGAAGGATTTCTTGTTTATTTCTACAAGGAAATAATGCAGCTTCTTTATAGGCATCATTTAATACCAAATGAACCCGTTATGAACCTGAGAATAGCTGCTGTCCCACCTGTTGGTGATGAAGACTTGTTAAAAATGAGACAGGTTTTTAATGCAATTCAGTTTATTTATATAGCGCCAAGCTACCCCTTACTAACAGAAATAAAACCATGTGAAAGCAGCGAGTGCAACAGAAGGCGTTATGTTTTAAAGTATCACTGAAGGAATAACTTAATTCTGACGGAGATGGCTTGAGCAGCACCAGCGGTAGCTCAGCAGTCAAAATAGGAAGTGAAAAAGATTCATCTTGCCAACAGCAGCAGTAACTATACAACATTTCTCTCAATATTAAAGTACATATTATCATAATGTATATGTAAAAAAAAAAGTTTTTTTGGTTTTCTTTAGGGGCCACATATTGGTGCCTAAAATTTCCCAAAGATTGTGTTCTATCTAAAACTAATTTGGCATGTAAACATGCGGTTCCTTATTTAAACTCTAACCGATTTTGGAGAAAAAGGTGATTTGACAACACAGACGTGGAGGTGAAAGATTGAAGTCAGATTGAGTCCCCTGTGATGCTCAATTCTAATTTATATAAAACATTAATCATCGATCATGTCATCACAAGCATTCAATATTGCAGAGTACTATGTAATCTTATTGATTATAAATATTTATATGACAGGACCTGTCAAATAAATAAAAATTGCCTATGAGCAGCACAAATCAAAGTAATTTAAAGTCATAAGGAAGTCATCTTTAAATGTCAGATCATTCTGGCTTATACATGTATATAAATGCACTCTTTAACAGACTACATTGTCCCAAAACTTAGAAAATTTCTATTTTTTGGGTTTTTTTTTCTGTGATTTTTTATGCAAGCCAGTTAGTTATACGTCACATCTCGATTCATATGTCGCAGCTAATATACACAACGGTTTAAATAATAAATAAGAATCCTTATTTACTTTATCATTGAGTTAGACTTAGAGAGATTTTATTTTGTCATCTTGTACAAACAAGTATATACAAAAAGAAATTTCGTTTTAGCACAGCTCTCTAGACATTTTTTAAAGTGCAGTGCAAAAAAACACATCCTCCTGGTGTTGCTTCCGTCGTGGAAAAGGTCTTGGATCTTCTGGCTGTGGTTCTGCTTCGCTGATCTGATGGCACGGTTTAAGTTGCACTGTTGTCAGTGTCTCTTTATCACCAGACTTGAAACCTGAGTTCCATGCTTGTAGCGATTTCCGAACCTCTCCATTCATCAAGGGTTGTTGGTTGGCCTGGGTGGTGATTTTTTTTTTTTGATGCTGACGTCCTCAATGCATTTGTTCATGTAGGCTGACTCAGTCATGGCATCCTCATCAATATTTAACAAGTTATCATATGTTGTCATAAGTTGTCATATGTTGCTGCAGCCTTGAAGATGTTCCAGTCAGAGCATTCAAAACAGTCTTGGAGTGTCTCCATGGCGCCCTCAGACCACACTCGGACCTCTTTAACTGTGGGTTTAGCCCTGATCAGCTGGGGCTATATGCAGGGATAAGCATGACCGAGAGATGATCTGATGATCATCATGTATCTTGATGTTAGAGTAAACCAGGTCTAACATGTTTTCACCCCGATTTTTAAGTTCACAAGTTGGTAAAAATGAGGAAGATCAGTCTTCAAATTAGCCTGGTTAAAGCAATGATGAAAACACCCTCTGTGTGCGCAGATCAGAGCTCAGAGATAGCCAGGTATAGAGTCTTCATGGCCTCTTTTGTATTAGCCCTGGGGACACGTAAACAGCAGTGATGCTAACCACACTGAACTCTCTGGCCAGATAGAACGGGCTGCAGTTAACAGTCAGAAATTCGATGTCTGGAGAGCAGAAGCTGAAGACCGATCTAGCGTTCTTCCACCAGCTGTTGTTGGTGTTAACACAGAGCCCACCCATCGTACCGCTTAGTTCTTTGTTTCTATCGGTGCAGTATAGCGTTAGCCCCTTCACATCTATGTGTATGAGGGAGGAGACTCATCCACGACCTATGACACAAACCTCTCCTCCTCTCGCATGTTTCCGCTGTCCGTTCCTTGACAGTGTCATTGCTAAGTGCTACTTGGTCCTAATGTAATATCCCATTGGGAACCTACTAGCACTAAGTTGCTAACTGTTTAGCAAGATCCTTCCGGCAAACCCCCCACAACCAAACTTGCTTGCGAACCTTTCGCCACAACAATCCCACCTTCTTGATAAACCACCAATCACATTCACTTTATTTACTCGTGTAAAGTCGGGCACCACTCGGGAGAATTCGGAAATGCAATGGTTGGAACTGCCGTTCCCTACGACTTTAAAAACTTTTCTCACCCAGAACAGTAGTGAGAAGTTCAGTACCCATTTTTGTGGGTGAGTCAACTGTCATGGTTGCTGGGCAAAAGAAGCTGGAGAAGGCTGGAGCTGTTTAAACCCAGAGCCAAAACTCTTTTTATTTTTCACGGACCTCGAAGGACCCAGTCCTTGTAGACCGAGTCCTGGAGGAGGCAGCCTCTGAAATTTAACGCACCAGATGTCACCCTCTGGTCCCCTGTGCATAAAAGACAGCATCCCGCTTTCTTTTTTTCCGTAGGGTGTGACAATAAAACAGGTGACCATTATATTTCTCTTTTTGCTGCTTAACAAAAGAGAATGAATGTCGTCAGAGATGGCTCTCAGCAATCAGCGGGTTGAATAGGTGCTGACTGCAAGTCGCCGTCTGTGCAGTGTACATTTCCTATCAGGTCCGTTTTCATACAGTACAAGTCGGGAGAGCTAGCTTAGGCGGTTACTAACTGGATTTAATGTGAAAAGTTATTAGATTAAAACAATTAGACACCTTGTGAATGAAGGTCATTTGATATTAAGATATGAAGATTTTGCTATAGATGTTATAGTTGTGTTTAGCAGTTTATGTAAAATAATTGAAAAGATCAGCAGAATGCAACTTACTTTCCTGTTACATACAGATATATTCTTGTTTTTCGAATACTATAATTTTGGACAACAAACAAAGGAACAGGCTTAAAATTAGGAACTAGTGGAGTTGTGCATAATGCACATTGTCTAACTGTGTTTTTTGGTTATCTTTCAGAAGGTTGTCAACCTGGTTTTGACTCTCATTTGAAGCCTTAATTGGAGAATGCATCATATTGTTCATATTGAAACTGCTGAAATACTTACCTGGATGTTTTTTTTTTAATCCAATATGAAAAAAAAGTTTAGAATAACCAGCACTGATATGAATTTGTTTCCCAGAATATATATTTAACACGCAAAGCAGATACATTCATACACACATACATACAGTCTGACATTCATACATATACATATAATTTTCTTGTTTTTTTATTTTATTTTATTGTAAAAAAAAAACAAAAACAAAACAAATTTGTTATATTATTACTTTTATACTGCGTTATACTGTGGGCTATGTCACTGTTAAAAAGCATGCTTTGTTTTGGTTGTGGTCAGATGGTGCGTTTGCAAATAACTTCAAGTGCAGGTCTCAGGTTGCTTTGAGGTTTGAGTTTGCACCTTAAGATATTTCTGCTTGCATTAAGCAGGAATGTATTTCAACCAATATGCATCGGTTAGCAAACCAAACAGCTCCCCAGCAAATTCGGACTCCGGTTGCTCCAAGAAACATGAACAAAACACAATTGTTTTATCCATAATTATTGTATTGCTTAGGGTTTTGTTTTTTTCATTTGCCCTTTCCATCATTTCATAGTTTTTTTCCGTTTGTTTTGGGAAATTTTGCATTAATCCTTTCTTCCTGTATTTGTTTTTCCAGTCCTGGCTTGTTAGTCCAGTTGGTCCAAACAGAATTAGTCTTTTGTTTCATCCGCAGTCTAAGATTTCACGTCCCTCCTCTCCTTTAATGTTTCTTGTTCTTGGTCGTGTTAAGGTCCACGCTTTTGATGTTAAATTGGGAGACTGAGGGTTGATGGCATCTAGTTTGTATACATTACATCCAATATTTCCAGCTGAAGTAGCAATTACTTGGGTGTATAAAGGTAAATATTTAAGAGAAGGAAGGTATGGGGTAGTAGCTTGCTTAGTTAAGTTTTAGTCTTTTTGAGACCAAGTGACTCAGTTTGTTGCAACAACAAGAATGGAGCCCTCCTCCGCTTCCTCGTCTCTTTCTTCAAGGGATTGGACGACGCAAGGGGTGACATCGAAAGGTATTCTCTCTGAAAGAGGTTCTGTGGTCTGCGCTGGTATGCCTGGGCTTGAACCTCTTGTGGGCGGAGCCTCCTCCCTCATTGGTGATGGTGTTAGAGAGCATGGCTCTGGCTCTAAGGTGATTGTTACTTCTTCTACCTGTAAACATAATCAACATGATTTATAATTCTTTAATTCTGGTGATGTATTTCATGTAACAAAGCCTTTAATCCCCATTTAAGGGATGAAATTCACACAATTACACTCTGTCTTTCGGACCCAATTGGATCACATCTAGTCACATCTACCTGCTCTGTTGACAATAAATCAAACTTTTAACCAAAGGTTTTAAGGAAAGAAGTGCTTTCAACACACCCTCGTCAGTTCTTCTTCCTCATCGTATTGCTCAAGAATGCCTTCAGTTTCAGGTTCTGGCTCCTCTCCAACCGTCTCTACCACACCTCCAACCATGTCAAGCATCTGTGCACTCAGCTGCCCAACAATCTCCACCTAAAACCAAAGGAAGTTAGTTGTTTTATTTTAGATGTTTTCCTATTCTTTTTTTTTTTAGATGTAAACAATCTAATTTTGTCTCATCTAACATGTATACTTTAATATAAAACCCTGCAATCCCAGAGAAAGTCAAATAATATGCAATATAGATTGACAAGCAGTTTCCTGTCGCAACCTAGCTTGGATTTTCTGTGCAGGACATCAGGGATACGCAAGACTCTGGAAGATGCAACAGACGCAGATGCTGGATCCAAATGCCTGGAGTTGTAATCTTGCAGACTTTCAGACATGCCGCAATGGAGGCCAGGCTGATTTACACCGGACTGTTCTCCAATACTCATCAAATCCATCTCAAGCAGCCATGCAGACCTCTGAGAGTTCGCCATGCAGACCTTCAGCCTGTCTCCTACCTGGAAGATATCCCTTGCAGTTCATCACTCACTGCACTACAGCTGTGTGCTAAATAGGCCTGCTGATATGAGAAAGCCAAACCAATAAGACAAACGAATTAGTATATACATACTCCCTTTACCTTAATTTGAGGTAAAACAAAGACATAAACCTTCGTAGCACAAAACAGTTTGGCAGTAATGTCCATGATGTGTCAAACCCGGTAGTGACCGAAAACACTCTGTATGCTTATGACTGGATATGCTGTCAAACACCCTTTGTCCTTGTTCTCCGCCACATCTCTTCTGTCAAGCCCCATTAAACCATCAGTTTGCAAATGTAACACCTGAATTCTGAGCCATAGACAAGTGCATACCTGATGGGCCTCTACCTGCGCCGCCCCCCACAGGTCTGCTATCCGGGGGTGAGTAGGAGGACCCAGACTATGGATGGTGCTGTTGGGAGTGACTTGGAGGGAAGGGGAGGCACTGTGTAGCCTGTGCTCTGACGACTGAAAAAAGAAAAACCAAAAGAAATCAGAGGAAGAGGATATGTGAGTATTAGACCATTTGCACAGTGAGACCAATGCTGTAGTCATCGTCGTCATCAATTAAATTCTGAATCATATATGCATATCACACCACGCCGTAAAAAAGCCAAAAGTACAAGAAAATTAGATGTGGCCACAAAAGCTTTGATGTAAAAAAAAGTTTTATGTGTAACTTCATCTGTATACTATTGTGTAGCATATTTCACTTTGTCCATAGAGTACAGCGTACAGACTAATTTCCAATGGGGTCGCGTATCAGTAAACCTTCTCAGAGAACTGGTCCCTGACCTTTAAAAGTTGTTATTTCAAAACCCCCAATTATTTCTTGAGGTCTAAGAGTGCAAACAGCAAAGCAGCCAGCGGTGCTGACGATCTCTCGGGGTTTCAGAGCTCATGACTCACTTTCTTTGGCAGAACATTTTCCTTCTAACTAAGAAGTAAAATTATGCAGCTGATTTCCAGCAAAAAAAACTGAAACTAGTTTTAAAGATGCCACCACGTTCAGAACTTTTTCTGCAGTCACATGCAGTTCAACCAAAAATTCAATTCCAGTCCATAAAGTGGTCAAATTAATTAGCAATCAGAATAAACCTGTTGCACAGTTCCTTTAACCTGGTTAATGACTTAATGGCAGCCATTTTTAAGATTTGACAGAAGTATTTACACCATGTACTCCAACCAGTGAAGTTTAGTCATCCCCTTAATGAATAGAAAACACTTTTGTTATCTATTCATTAAGGGGATCCTTGTCTGATCAAAATGATAATTTTTAATGTGAAATATTTAAGACCAGCAAAAAAGCTAAATCAAATAAGGCAAATGTTTATCTTGGATTTTAGAAGGGATTTTCTTCCAAAAAGAAACTTTATCATCAAGCAGTGTTTTAATATGCTCACCCACGTAACTCTACTACTCTTACTATTCATTAATGTCCTATTGTTCGGTGGAAAATAAAAGCGATCAGATCAAAGCCTAATTTTTTGTTTGGCCGGTTTGGATTTCCCCAGAACTCTAGCAAAAGAGACAAAAAAAACAACTTCAACCCACCCTTTGCTTGTTGAAGACCTCAAACATATTAAAGTGTTTTCTTCGTACCTGTTGTTGGTATTGCAGAAACTGTTGCTGCTGGTAATGATGAATCTGTTGTAGCTGCTGGAGTTGACTTTGTTGCTGCAGTGTAAGCTGACTCTGGTTCTGCTGAAGGTAACTGCCTACCGTGCCCTCATACCCATCTCCAGGGGTTCCCCCTGCTCCACTGCCACCACCTGCAGCATCCACATAAATGCCTGATTACCACCGCTCGCAAAACCCTGCATACGCTAAGAGACTCATTTAGTAACAAAGGTTTTAAGAAGTTAATTACCGGCAGCCATAATGTAGGAGCCTGCTGCAGGGGAGACCAGGCCTGAAGGCTGACTGGTGATTGGGTCCCAGGCATCAGAGGAAGACAGGCAGTACAGTCCCTGTGAGATGTAGGTGTGAGGCCAGACCTCTGCAGAGGAGTGATGGAACACCTGGTCTGTTCACAGATGAACAGAAATACAGAGATGTGAATTACTGAAAATAACAAAGAATGTTTAAAAGGGGAAAGAAACCATAAAGTTCATAGAGAGATAATGTTTTTATAAAAGTTTCAAGAAATTTTCACAAATTGACTTTAATAGGACTTTTGTTGACCTAACTATTTGCTTTGCACGATGATATAAACAAACAAAGTGGAAATGCATCTCCTCTGAGCTATGATGTTATGATCATTGCCGTGTTTGTGTGCCGTAAATGTGTGTGGCTGTTTATGCTAAATGAAGCCTCGCAGAGCCCCATATGGTTGTGCTAATGAAAGAAAAACAGCAGTGCTAAGTCCTTGTGCTAACCTACAGGGCCCCTGAAGGCTAAGGCAGAGAATTACATTGCTAAACACCAGTGAGAAATGAAATTCATTCATTTCACAGTAAAGGTGACAGCCTGGATAGAGGTGCACATTTACTATGGAACCTTATGGAGGAGCTAAAAAGCCCTAAAAATGTCCTACAATTCCAAGTTTTAACTTTCTTAAACATAATTTTGCAATGCTTATGTGATTTTTACGATTTACTGATGATAAAAAGACTTTTCTAGCCTTTCCTAAGCTTTCCTTTGTTTATTTGTGGTTGTTTTTTCAGACGAAGTAGTTAACACACAATGATATTTCACAACTTCTCTTTTTTTTTTCTTTTTTTTGTAGGACTACTGAATTTTAAGTCCGCTCCCCCACATAGTGCATGTTGAACTGCATCTGATGTTTCAGAAATGACAGGCTGTCATCCGGATTTGTCATTTGGATGTTTCTGAATGCCCTGTAGGAGTGAGGGGCAGGAATGTGCAGCAGTGTGGCTGACCTCCAAAAGTACTTGACTTTTGGATGAAAGGATGAGTGACAAGGCTGTTCTTTAGTTTGCCAACTTACATTCAGAAAGTAACGGTGACACTAAAGATACATGACTAAATAAGAGATATTTAAATGTAATAATTTTGTACAAGAAGCAGCTGCTGCAGGGGCACAAACTCTTTTACGCTTTGTTGGTGTTTAGACTCTGTTTGGGACGCATTAGGTAGTTATAGAGTCTTGCAGCAATGTCCTACATGGAAGCTTAATTTGAAAATATGCAATACAACCAAATATTGATGTATGAAATGTTGGGTAGACATAAGTTGAAGCACTGCTTTCTGACACTTCCTGATCAATAAGAAAATAATACTTGAGTAAAAACCAGATGCATTATTTCCATTCAAGTAAACAAACAGATGTAAACATGCCCTGCTCATAATTCTTTTCTCTCTAAAAAGAGAAAGTCAGGTCTGCTGGAGCTGTAATAGTATCTCATTCATGTTCATACCAACCATTTCTGCTACAGGCCTTGGGTTTTATCCACCAGAGTAAAATAAATACAACTGTTCTAAGAACTAAATTACAGAACTCAGTGCTCTACCATTTCTTTTTAAAAAGGTGGACCAAAAACAGAGGGGGAGAATCTTAGGGTATCAAAGGGTGACAAGTTTCCATTCAGCAAAGAAATAAAAAAGGTAGACCAAAACGAAGCTTTATTTTCTCATTTTTTAACAGGGTTGCAAACGTAGATATTAAACTCACCCTTACTGTGGTTCTTGAGTTGTAACTTGAAGGTAAAGCAGATTTTAAAAGTATTTACAGGCGAAAAAAATTATATGGCCAACAATAAAGTCACCGGAAGGAATGCTCATCTGGGATATTAATAGCAAGACAATTAAATCTATTCATTTATAAATAAGCAAATCATACAATCAGCCAGCCTGTATTCAGTTCCTATTGAACCATGAACCAACGACTTCTGCCAATAAAGTTGGTAAGTTGCAATTACCAGTGCTGGGAACATGTTTGGAAATATAACTTGTTACAGTTGCTAGTTACTTATTTAACTTTCCTAACTTTAAACTTTAAATATGATTAGAGGTTAAATTATGGAATAATACATCTTTGTAAATAACTTATTAAATAATTAAGATTTAAAGAATTACATCTGATTGAATACTACTCTGCACATTTTAATGTGTCATTGGTTGGACAACTGAGCTGCAATACAATTATGTAGATGTGATTAGAGTTTTTTGTTTGTAGTAAAAGAACAATATTATGTTTTAAGACATTATATTGTTTGCACGTTGACAGCCTTTAACTCACAGCTGATTTCAGCCCTGACTCCTCCTCATTGGACCGCCTTGTTTTCACTCAACTATACAAACAGACGTAAAAACGCCCTGCTCAAAATCCAACACAGACTGTATGTTTGTAGGTGAATCCCCAAAGGTTTAACATGTAAACCTAACCAAGGACTCAATCTTCTTAAAGATTCACTTTTCCATCAGTTCTTCCATATCAACATGTAGTTAGATAAAGTATAAAGCATCCAAAGATGTTAAGTACATGTACCTCTGCTGGTAATACTCTCCTGGTTGACCTGACTCAGGTGAGCGACGCTGCCCTGGTTGGAGCCGGCACCCATACTCTCCCCATCCATCGAGTTCCAGCCAAACAGAGTCGCCTCAGAGATCGCAAACTGCTGCATGATACCTGAGGAGGAGACAGAGAGCCATCAGTACAAGCTGAGACGCAGTGGGGCTCTTGTTGGAAACCTGGCATTGAACAGCATGATGCCTTATCTTACTAATTAGGGATGGAGTGCACCATACAGTAAGAATCTCAGACCTTGCTTTGCTGTTGCATACAGATGTTAATTAGTAATTAAAGCGACATAGGTAACAACAGTCATTAACATGGAGAAGCAGCTTCCAGAGCAGTGGAGGAGAATATAGTGTTTGCTTCTATTGAGATATCAGGATTTGTTGAAAGCATGTAAATGTAATCTTAATCCAGCATATTTCTGAGCCAAATAAAGAGCAGCTGTGGGATATAATCAATAAGATATAAATTAATGTTTCTAACTTCACCTGCTGCGAAGCGAGCCTCCTTCTCGCCATCACTGAGGTCGCTGTAAGCGTCGTTTTCCATCCTCCTCTCTTTTTGTCGCTGCAAATTGGTATGACCCGCGCCCCCTAACGGCCCCGCCGATGGTTTTCCCCAACTCTGCCACTCGATCATGTGGGCGACCCGACCCTGGGCCATGGCAGTGGGCTTGGTCACCTTGTCCTTCATGGACCGGGTCACACCTACAGAGGGTTGCAGGAGTCGCAGGCCAGCAACAGACCAGGAAAGACACAAACACACACACACAAACTGTCAAACATCTTCTGGCCTCTACAAACAGCTACACCTCCAAGTGAGGCACAGAATGAGGATGAGAAACTGTAATGGAGCTGATCTTTTTGACCCTAGATACAGTACCATGGCAGGAGATATCAGTCAGGCATTAAAAGTTCAACTTTAATGCTTGTCCTCATGTGGCAAAATGTTAGGTGACCTTAAGTCATCAGAGGTTCAGACAGCTCAGTGAAACCTTTCAGGAGTAGCTGAGGATTGCTCTGCTACTCCGTTCACATCAGGTGCTTCTATGTTGCTCTCACTGGACCAACAGCATCTTTCATTTTCCTCCCAAACCAGTCTGAGCTTTTGGCCCCTAAAGCTGAACCTTTTTCTGTGTGAGGTTTTTTTTTAGTTGACAGGGAGCCACTCCTATCCTCCTTCAGCCTTCACCTTCCTAAATGTGATATACTGTACAGTAGATAGGACATTTATTTTTCTTTCTTGTCTTTTGATAAATTGGCCTGAAAAGGACCTTTTTTGTGGTAGATTTTTTATTTATTCTAATTGGACTTCTGGAATTGACCTGTTTTATAGGTTTAGTTTCCATGTAAACATTTTATGTTCCCAGCTGCAGTTTTAACTGCAGTCAATTGAGGGGAAATTAATTTTGCATGTTGGGCAATTAAAAGGTAACATATCATTTGGAGAAATATTTATATTTACCTTTTAAACTTGTGCAATGCATCTATAAGTTCAGCATGAAGCACAAAAGTTTACCTTCCGGTAAATGCTCCCTCAGCTTCAGGCAGTTTTTACCATTTATTAAATTTAGCTTAGCTTGCCTGGAAACACTTTATATTGTTAAAAACAAAGCAGATTTGATCTTGTTGCATCCTTTATAAAAGAAAAAAGCAAGAGAGCAAAATTATTCTGATATCTATTTTAAATTCAATCTATAAACACTTAAAAATTGGTTTGGATTTCAGTTTTTCATTTTTGTTTAGCATTAAACTTAAACAATAATTATTCTATATTAAAAAGAAATAAAATGTCAGCTACAGTTTGAATCTGCTGTATTGCTGCTTTTTTTAAGTTTAAATTAACATTTTTGCAAGCACAGTATTATTTTTTCCAATGTTTCCCTGATTGTTGCTGTCTCAAAGGCTTTTTTCCAAGTGTTACACTGTTGACTGCTTGTTTAAGTATGACTGCAGTCAAGACTGTCTAGCAGTCACTATACTCCATGGAGCTTTTAATAAAGAAAAGCTTTAGTTTGAATTTTCAGAGCAAATGCTGGTACGCCCTACGTAGCTTGTAAAAAGCAGATTCATCGCTACAAGAACCCCTGGAAGTCCATATTGTGCTTCCCTAACAAGAACAGTGGGTAAATCTTTGGTCAATTAAGATCCAAATATATTTTCAAAACATTGAAAATATTATTTAAGTTAAATGGGTTCAAGGTCAGTGGTTTATAGAAAAAAAAGTCATTAAAATCAAGCAGCCGTGAATAAATAGAGACAGAGCTTTGGAAATTTCTCCCCAGGTCCACAGGGCAGGTTGTCGGCTGAGCTATAAATAGACACAGTGAGACAAAAAGAGCCAATCTTATGTAAAAATCAAACTCTTGCTGCAGAGCCAGCTGGGGATGGGAATGGAGTAGATGAAGAATGAAGGAGGGTGTTGGGGTCTTGGTATTCAATTTAAAGGCTTCAGAGTGATACTCCACACTGCTAAACAGTTTAACCACACACCTTTATTTCATAGAAGACAAATAGTTTAACTTTCACAGACACTAAAAGATGCTGAGCACACAGAGCACTGCAGTCAGAAGCAAAGACAAAACCAGCCACTGTAGTCACAGCACTGCAGACAAGAGCAGCTACTCCACAGATATGTTACAGCAGACTGCCACGTTCCAGCACACAGCATTCCCCAACACACCTGTGGTGATGCTTCAGTGGGCAGCTAAAGTAAGCCACGTCTCTTACTTTAGATTCTTTGAAATCAAAAACCTGATTGGATTTCCATCAATGACTCTGACATGTGTCATTGACGTCTGTTGATATCAATGAGAGAGAGAAGAACAATAGAAAGTGATCTAGGAAGGGGCACCCACAGGGGCACCCACAGGGGCAGTCATGTTGGTTCCAAGCTCCTTTCCTTCCTGCTGGTCAAGCGTTAAAACAAATGTTGAAGCAAGGCTGGATTTACCAAATCTGACCTTTGTTGGTAAGTTAAAGAGATTGTTTATGTGCTCTGTGTGTGTGTGTGTGTGTGTAGTTTTGGTACCTTTGTAGGGACATTTCTAATGAATATGCTACAATGTGGGGACCTACACGTCCTCATGGGGACCAATACTGGTTGGCGGTTAGGTTGAGGATAAGGTGTGAATTGATATTAGATTAGGGTTAGGGTTTGGGTTAGGCCATAGATATAAATGAAATAAATGGATAATTACTTACATAAAAACTAAGAAAAATAAAAGACTTAGAGTAAAGTAGACAAGTTGGTCAGCCTGAATAGTTGATTGAATACACTAATAAATCTTTACTTTGTGTATTTATAATAAAGCTTTGATAAAGCTTTTATTTTTTTCTTAATAAGGAAGAAAATTCCAAAATATTTTTATTAAAAAAAAATAGAAAACCTTTATTCACAACTCAAATATGTAATTACTTGTTAAGTATTTTACATTAACTTTGATCAGACCTACTTAAAATGTGTTTTTGATGATATGCTAATACATATTTTAACCCTTCCAGGAAATGAACACTTTAAAAAAGGTCGACTTTAGTTCTTGTTGAAGAAAAGGTTCTTCCCTTATTTGGAATGGCTTCTTAATACAAAGATAATTGTGCTGTTTTCTAGAATCACGCTCAGACTCAACCCACCCTAACAACAGGGGTGTTGTTAGCCTGGCTCATTAAGTTTTGTCCCATAAATGTGTGAGTGAGTTTGAAACTTATGTTCTGTTGTTTTTGTACCAGCTGGGTTTGAAAGAAGGTAGTCATATCATGGAGCACCATTGCAAAGGTCTCCGTTAGTAAACAGAGATGTTCCTATGTTTGTTTTTCACAATATTTTAATGAAAATATTTCTTCATGCTTAGACAATTTTTAATGTGTGTCACAAAACAATACTTAGTAATACTGAAAGGTTGCTCTGTGGAGGGAATCTAGTTATTAAAATAAATTCCCACCCACATTTCCACCTCACATCGCAGATTATCTCTGCTTTTTCCTATTGCTTACCGATTTTTATGGTGGTATAAATTGCTCTCATCCCTGGTTAGTACAGGACATCTTCCCAGTCAGTGTTTCAGCCATAAATTGCTTCATCTGAAAGGACTTTATATTCCTATAATGTTGGTGGAATAAGGAGACACTGACCTGTAATCACGGAATACACAGTTTAAATGAAAGCATCTCAGGTTTTTCAAACTAAATCCGTTTTATTTGTCGCTTCTTTTGTAAAATAAATTGTTTGCTTTCATATCCTTAAAGGAAGGGTTTGAATAACCTAATATATTGTTGCCAGAGATTGCTATAATTCACCTTGAGCTAAAATGAGATTAGATGAGAAAAGGTTTCTGTGTTTGAAAAATCCAAAGACTAAATTTCTTTAACAAACAATCTGACTCAACCTGCCTCTGTTGTAATTCTGTAGCTTTAAAAAACAAACTGGTTTCTTTCTTCTGGCAACAGATGCTTAGTCCGATGGCAAAATCCTTTAAATTTCTTTCATAATTAGGGCAGCATCTCTAGTAAGGGTGTGGTTAAAAAAAATCTATTTTGCGATATATCGAGATTTTTGGCTGCCCAATATGATATCGATCGTTCAGTTCCTAATATTGATTTAAAAAATAACAATAATTTCACCTAAAACAATGAGGGAAAATGGGCTACCTCAGCAACATCACTCTGGCAGATAGTGCTATGGAGCCCTTTTGCTGTAAGGCGCAGCACTGTATCTGTAGTTGAGGCAGACACAGTAGAAGAAGTGGTCTGACTCAAACCCTAAACAACATGAAACCAAAATAACTACATGATCAACATATTCTGGTGAAAATACTTGCTTTTTTATCTATACATTTATTTTGATAGCTGGGAAAAATCTTGCACAATATAGTGATATTGCAATATCATGAAAATATTGTATCGTGACACGTATCATATTGCAACAGTTTTCTAGACTAGTTTAGTCTAGATTTGGTGTTTGAATACTGTTTAAATGACTGTTGTGAAATGATGCAAAATAAATAAAGTCAGATCACTTTTAAAACAAAGATTAAAACAGCGATACTCTTTCACGCCTATAAAAGTTCCGACCTTGTTTTTAGTCAACATCGCTTCACCCTTGACCCACTTTGGAGCATGTGGAAGCAACATGGGGGCTGTTTACCACCTAGTAGCACAGACACACACCTGACACACCTGTCAGAGAGGACTTAGCCAGGGCACCAATCCCATAACTGTTGGCGGAATTCCTCTTGAGTCGTGGTAGAATAGAAGTAGTATCCTCCATAGACAACTACAGAGAAAAGGGGGGGGAGTAAAGTATGGTTGAATTAACGGTTAGTGAGAAGAGGAGTGAAAATCGAGGTTACAGTATGCAGAGCGATGAAAGATGTTGCCGATAAGATAAGGAGATGGAAAATCAATGTGACATGGAAAATGACAAGATAAGAATAGACAGGGAAGATGAATATAACCGAGAGGATTTCAAAAGAAATCGGGTTTTAAAAGACCAGGTGAATGAAGATTTACAGAAAGGATTGGATGAAATAAGAGAGGGGAGAAGTTATAAAAGTAAAAAAGAAGGGTTAATTATTTTAGCAAACAGTCAATGGCTTCCAGGCGTCATTAGTTTGAAGAGAAAATCCTTAAGACGTGAGAGCTAAGAAGAGAAATAAATCAAACGTAATACAACAAAGGCATGTGTAAAAGCAGGAGCTTATTTTTAAATTAACCCCAAAAGAACACAGATTCTGCCTAAAGAACGGTGGAGTGATGTCCTATGCATGGAGCTGTGGAAAGGTTAATTACAGGAGGAAAAATAGCAGGAAATGTTTGGATGATACTGACAGAAATGAGCAGTGAAATCAGCAGGTTGATTAGAATCAGCTAATTTTAGGCTAATGGAGCCATAAAGCCGCGTTGGATGGAATTTCTAGATGCACATTGTGCACAGTATTACCAGGTCTGACCTATGATACAAATTTTCAGGTATGTATACATATAACTAATTATATCCTTATAAGTTCTGCTTCCTGTGCAGCAGCCCCTTCTTGTCCTGGAAAACAAGCACCTTGAGCAGTAATTACACCCCCCTAACAAGAAGAATCATGACTTGACCCCATGTTATTTACCGTATTTACATCAGCAAATAAATTCTGCTGAAGATCCATTAAAGGTGCCCTTTCTGGGACTCATTCTTCAGTTAAGGATATTATAGGAAAGTATAGATTCCTTGCAGCATAGTGGATTAGTAGGGGCTAAAAAAGGAGTTTGGATGACTGAGAATTTACCAGTGGAAAAGGAAGCAGCTTCGTATGAGAGCGAGTAGTGGAAAAGACAGATAAGGAGGAGAGAAAGAGTGGCGAGGGGTGGACAGATGTCAACTTATGTTCTCACAGCCCAAACTCAGGCAGTCAAAGAGATGGAGGGTAAAATGACGGGAGGAAGAGGATATCTGCTAAGACATAAAGGGGGAGACTTACATTGATTCCTTCCCAGGAAAACTCGGTACGGCCATGCTAGGAAAGAGGCATGAAGGACAGGAAGAAGAAGAGTACAGTAAAACATAAATACAATGAGCAAAGGAGAGAGGAAAAAAGAGGTTTTAAAGATGGAAAGGAAAGATTTAACATTAAGGAATTAAAGAGGACTGAACATATATATATGAAGGTACAATATTTTGAAAATGTAAAATGACAAGATGTAAAATTTTTATCATTGAGCTTTGAAACCAATGCAGTGAAGGAAAAAACAAACAGATTTCTAATTCTCAGCTTCAATAAAGCTTAAAACATTTTGTATAAGGATGAAATTACGAAAAAGTTAATTATTGATGTTGTTTTATATGCAACAAAAGGTATCTGTGTTCATTATGATACCTCTCTATAATTACCGACAGAAACCTCCTCATTAGTAGCAGTCAGTAGTTTTTCCATTTAATCAGACCAAACCATTTCTTCAGTCCTAATCTAAATCTATAGCGCTTGGTTGCCCTGTAACCTCTTGCCACTGCAGACCTTTCACACCATGCAATACCTAGTGGTTTTTGGAGACAGCTGCCTTCCCAATCATATTTACAGTCAAAACAACATATTTTCTGATTCCCCCCAAAAATAATGTGTTGTTCTAGTCAGCTATTATCAGTGATAATGCTATGCCTTCCTGGTAAATTTGATACACATGATTGTGTAAACAACTCCAACTGAATATGTAAGGATGTGAGTGTTGCAGTATAACAGAACAACAAAAAACAAACATGGCAGCGGTTTATTATAATCATTTCTATTACTGTAAAAAAAAAAGGAAATCCCATTTTGTGTTAAAACCATGAATACAATGTATATATCAAATTCATGAGCCATGTTTAGACCCAATAACTGCCAAACCTGCTGAATCAAGCAATCATCTAAATAAAACCTAGTTTAAATAGCCTTAAACCATTTTAAATTATCAGCAAGGCTGTAGCGGAAGTGGCTGGTAAAACAAACACCTAACCATCAGAAAAGATATGATTCCTAAAACATGTAGCATAAAACTATCAGCATTTTAGAAAAAGATATCAGCAGTAAAACATTGTGATTTTAACAACCTATGGTTGCAAGTTGCTTCAGGGAGCTGCAGGCTTTGGCTTACTGACTGAATCCTGCATTCTACTGTGAACCAGAAAATTCTGAAGAAGAACTGGTGATTTATTTTTGACCCTAAGCTAAAGATTAATTGTGTTATGTTATGATAGTTCACACCACATAGCATAAAGCTAACAGATTGGCTGCACAGTGGAACAGTTTGTAGCACAGTTTCCTTACAGCAAAAAGGTTCTGGGTTCAATTCCCAGGTGGGGTCTTTCTGCTTTGAGCTTGCATGTTCTCCCTGTGCATGCAGGGGTTCTCTCCAGGTACTCTGGCTTCCTCCCACAGTCCAAAAACATTAGGTGTATGTGCATAGCTTAGGGCTAAATTATTTTAGATGTTTTGGGATTACCTTATTGAGGCCAGGGTTACTGCATGATCACTTTTAACTTAGGGAAGCTGATTTGTTCCATAGTAAATTAATCATTCTTTAAAACATTTTTATATTTACTCAGTTCAGATCTTTGTCTTATATTAAAATCTAATTGATGAGCTGAAACGCGACACAGTGACACAGAAGCAAAACAAGGAATGTAGTTCAAAAAGTACATAAAGAAAATGCAGCACAGATAGAAAAAAACGGTGTGATAATTTAAGAGGCTGTGTTTGCATGTTGCTCCCTCCTTTATCTCCACACAGCCACAATGTTTAGGTAACCAATGGATACCGCTGAGCAGTAGCCGCATCACCAGGGGCAACGGCAAATCTGATGTGTGGCCCTGCATGGACGACATTTGTTTTCTGTCCACAAATGCACGAAGTTGCGTGTAAAATACAAACATGCACACTTACACAAATTCACAAGCTGGGTTGCATATTCATCACTTTATAACACTTTGCAATCAGCACAAATACAGAGGTCAAACACCTTAACCTGAGAGTGCTTTTAGCAGATTCAGTCAAAGATCTTTACATTTTAGAGACCATTGTAGACCACTAAAGCTTTAATAAGCATGTTTTATAGCTCTTATGGCACAACCAGTATGTAAACATCCATTCAAAGCTGCAAATTACTGACTGCATGAGAAACACAGCCTTAAAATGTGCAAAACTGTCTATCTTTAAACATTAACAAAAGGAAGCATAGGGAAGGAACCTAATTTGATTCTGTGTTAAATTATGTTCTTGTGTGCATAAATTATGTTAAATGTTGAATCAAGATTAAGAAAAAATATTTTTAGATTATGTTTTTGAGATAAAAACTGAAGCGTCATGTCCAAAAGAGGGGTACATTTCTTCATTTTAAGAAGAAAAGAAAAAGAGGTCAAGAACTGTAGCACTGAATGGGTAGTTCAGATTGTTCTGGCTGTCATGACTCTGCACTTTTTGGTTCTGTTTAAGTTTTCTTTTTGAGTTTTCATGTTTTTTCTGTTTTCTAGTTTTATTGGTTTAATTCCATTTTGTGGTGTTTTCTGGATGTATTTGAGTTCTTTTATATTTCTTGTTTGCCCTCTGCTTCCCTCTTGTGTCAGTCTACTTTCCCCAAGCTGCCTTCTAGATTCCTCTGTCCACACCTGCTCCCAATCTGCTGATTAGCCTGGTCTTTGTTACTGTCTCACACCTCCTGTTCAGTAACCGTTTGCTGGCTCCACCTTGTCATTTCATTAACCCTTGTGAGTTTTCCTGATGTTTTCTGGTTTTTGGTATTTTTAAATTTTGCTTCAGTTACCACCTTTTGTTATTAAACTTACAAGAAACCACCTCAGCTTCAGGCTCTGCATTTGGGTCCTTCAAACCTCCATCCAATCTGACAATGGCAGTTATCAGCAGTAATAGTTCTTTAACCTGTTATTATAAAGTGGGGTTGAAGAAACTAGTTTGTAAAATTATTCTCAGAAATATTAATATATTTATAAAGGTGGATACATTCTCAGAGCTGAGAGAGTTGTCAATCGACTCCAACCGTAAAACATCAAAATCAGCCATTATCAAACATTTACAACTATAAAAGTCCTTAGTCGAGGTCTTGCTGTTTCTTTTCAGCCAAAAACACCCTTCCTGCTATGTTGAAGCTAAAGTGATTGATGCTGAAGGCAGTATCAGGCCATGTTAATCAGTTGCAATCTGCCTGTTTGCTTTCAGTCTACCAAAGCATATGGAATTAACCTTTGGGTTCTGCCTTGGGATAGTAGTAGTAAACAATACCCACGATGGGACTTAACTAGGGCTGAGCAATTATGCAAATTATTATGCAATATAATCACAATGTAGCAAAACACAATTTTCAAATTGTAGAGACACTCAATTTTAGTCAATTTACATTTAACAAGAATACGACACTACATTTATCCCTCTGGTTCTTTCAGTGGAGGTGATATGCTTAAAGTTGGTTTGCCTCAACACAGGTCAGAAGAGATAAATGCAGCTTGCATGCATATCCATGCATGACAATAGGATTAAAATTTTTTCCCTCAACAGTTAAACTATGGTGAAAGGGTAAAATATACCCCAATGGACTCATGGTCATGTAAAACTGAAACCCTTGAGTAAAACAGCTATAGTCTTGTGGAACGTAAATTTGCAAAAATTTGTAAAAATTGCAAAATCAATTTTGATTTTGGGTAAAAATCCTACAGCCCTAGACTTAACCATCAATACCATTCCAAGTCAAGTTTTCCCTTGAACTCAAGTCAACCAATTTGGCATACTGATACAGTCACGAGCCTTTACCATTAAAACTTTGCCTTGGCTCAGCTCTGAAAAGAAATGGTCTCTTGTCAGGGACAGGCTTAAGACTGCTTTAATCTTCTAGAACTGTCCAAAGCAGCAACTAAAGTCCAAATCGAAGATTAGATCTCCCCTCTAAAGCCAGCTTTGTCTTGGCCTGATTCAATTTCAAGATCTGTATCTCTAAGTCTTAAGATTTCTATCAGCAAGTGCTTTGCAAAGACACTCTAGCTCTGAACAAACATCAAACTGGGTTTGATTTGTTCTAAGCCATGATGCCCTGATGGACATTTTTATCTGGTCTCTGATTTAGGGGCATGTTTGGCAGTCTGAGACCAAGGCAGAGTGAAAAGAGAAGCCCAGAATAATTGTTTCATTTCAGGCTTTTTTCATTTTGCTCCCTGTTTCTGCTTCAATATGATATTCATATCAGACATGTTTGTTTTTCAAAGCAAGCCAGTAAGGAAAAATAATCCATCTCTAACAAGAATCTTCTGAGATGGAAAAGGGATTTAACAAAGCCTAATAGCTGTCAGAAGTCACCTCAGTGGGTTTTGTTCCTCACATCACGTGTAGCCTACTAAGGGGATCTATGTGCACAATTATTAATAATAGTGCAGTAAACATGAAGGCACTCCAAAGCCAGAGAATACATTTTTTCACAGTAGCATTTTTAATGAGTTTCTGTTATACTGTGATGTTAAAATGGAAATGGTGCCTCAAAAGCACTTTGATTTATTGTTAATAACAAAAAGAAAAAAACCTTTTTATGCTTTTTCAGAGGAGTCATTCATCCGTTAGACAAACCAGGCAGAAATCCATCAATTATAAATCCCCCTCAAAAAACCAAAAACTGTCAGTGCCCCTCACAGTCTTAGACCTATAAATGTCAGAAACACATTTTTTGGCAATCTGTCAAATAACTTCTGTCTGGAATCGAATCATCACATCCCTGCTAGAACTGCTTTATATTAAACTTTGATATTAAATTCCCACAGGCAGCAGGGTGACCCTTGAATTTCTAAATTCTCTGCTGCTGCTTAGTAATCAACATGTCCTTGGTAATAATCAATTACCCTGTTAACTTCAGAAGATATATTATTGTCTTTCTGTGCTATGGGGCAGAAAACTGCTAATATTGGCTTTGAAATCATTTAAATAATTCAACATCATCAGGGTTCAAGGTCAGTGTGCTGTTTCTGTAGTTAAAAAAATATTTACGG